AAATAGAAGAACTGTAGTTCAGTGAGTCTAAATAGACGATCTGGAGGTCTGAGAGTCTAAATAGACGAGGAGGATGTCAGGGAGTACAGATAGAAGAACTGGAGTTCAAGAAGTTTAAAAAGACGAGGTGGTGGTCAGGGAGTATAAATAAATAATATAATATAAAAGGAGTACAAATAGACGAACCGGAGGTCAGGGAGACCATATAGACGAGCTGGAGATCAGTGAGTATAAATATACGAGTTGGACGTCAGGGAGTCCATATAGGCTAGCTGAAGGCCAGGGAGCTCATGTAGGCGAGCTGAAGGACAGGGGACCCATGTAGGCGTGCTGAAGGCCAGGGAGCCCCTATAGGCGAGTTGAAGGCCAGAGAGCCCATATAAGCGAGCTGAAGGTCAGGTATCCCATATAGGCGAGCTAAAGGCCAGGTATCTCATATAGGCGAGCTGAAGGTCAGGTATCCCATATAGGCGAGCTAAAGGCCAGGTATCTCATATAGGCCAGCTAAAGGCTAGGTATCCCATATAGGCTAGCAGAAGGCCAGGAAGCCCATGTAGGCGAGGTGAAGGCCAGGGGACCCATATAGGCGAGCTAAAGGACAGGGATCCAATATGGACGGCTGAAGGCTAGCTGAAGCCTAGGTAGTCTTTATAGGGAAACACAAAGTCTGAGGGACCGCTGGGATTTTACCTATTAACCGGGGGATTCCCCAAATCTAACTCTTTCTGTATAAAAATACTGCAAAAGTTTAAAGGAAAACTGTCTATATATATGAAATGTTCCGTCAATGCTCTACTTCAAAAAATTTGAGCTGTCTTGATCTTGAATATATTGCGAGATAGACCGATGGCCTTGGTATATCGATTTAGAATTTTATCCTGAGCGAAATATATTTTAGTATTTGAATATTCCATCCCTTCCAAAAAAAAAAAAAATTAAAAAACTCACTCTGTAGTCACGGAAATTCCTGGTATTAATGTTATTTTAAATCTTTTAAAATTTAACTTCCCCGAGCCTTACTTTAAACTCTCAAAGCTCAAAATGTAGCCCATATATCTAAGAGCTATTATCAAAACATTTTAATGGTACAAAATCTATGCATATGTGCGTGTATGTCATTTACCATTTACCTTGAATCTGAATACGCTAGCAAACAGATAAGCGTTCCATGTGTGTTTAATGTTTACAACGGGAGCAAGCAAATTGTTAACAAAACAGATTAGCAACACATTTTACATGGCATTCACCATTCATTGCATTGAGATACTAGCCGAGTCTAAGTGCTACGCTGCGCGTAGCTGTGGGATTTAATAGGACATAATGTTGCAAACACCCTTTTTAATTTTTATTAACGGCATGGCGTATAAGAAAAAAAAAAAAAAAGAGAAACACCCACATGTTACATTAAAGAGGCTATCATCATATCAAATGCTATTTAAAATGCTTAACAAGCTCGATGGCTGGCTGGCTGTCTTCCCTCCCCTCACTCCCATCTGCAACATAAAAGCTGGTGAATAACTAATTTCACGGTGCCATTTTTTTTCAATGTTCAAAAGACGCATTATGACTTGCTAATGTGACTGAGTGGCAAAGTGTTGCCAATTATATGGTCCATATGTTTTTCATACACATACACACACTAATACATTTTAATACATATACATATAAGCTTTTTATATATATATATATATATATATATTTGTTTTGCATATATGTAATACATATATTTTAATATATGTATATTTTAACATACATGCATCCATATGTATATGTGTTTGTGAGTGTTTGCAGTAGTATACATTTTTAATTACTCAATGAAATGTGGCACAAGTGCTGTCGTTTCTATGTGTTTTTGTTGTTGTTTCATTTTGTTCCCATCATTGACATTTAAAATAGTGTCAGAGTTTGTTAAATGAACTGGCAGAGTGATTAAATTTACACACACAGCGGCGATAGTATCAGTCGGGGAAAAAAAGGTTTGCAGCTAAAATGTAGGTCAAGAACAAATTACGGGGTTTTTTGTTAATAAATTAACAGGCCAACCTACATATGTTTCACAGGCATAAATTGAAAGTTATAAAATTTAAACTGATTATGGTATTTAATTTATTTGAAATTTAAATAAAGCCGATTTGAAGAAAGTTGCATTAGATAAATTACGGGTTAATTTGAATAATTGTAAAATAAATTATTACAATTTTTGGATTAATTTTTGGAAAAGGATGTAGATTTGGGGAAACAATAATTCGATTAAATATTTTACATAATAAAGAACGTCCTATGAGACAATGACAATAACAATAATAGTAGTAATAACAATAATTGTAGTAATTATAACAATAAAAAAGCTGTCTACGATTTTGAAGGAACTTGAATATTTCGTAAAAATTCCGTGGAAAAATACCACTCACAGGAACACCGTTATATGGGGGCTATACGAATACGTTGTCCTGCCTAAGTAATTCTTTGTCATAGGCTGTAGTACTCATTACGAACTTTAAATACGATATTTGCAACAAGTCCGGTAACTAACGTCGTGAATATCATCAAAATACTCAATAGAGGGAGGTGCTATTATAAGTAGGCTATGTGGACCTACACAGACAATTATCCATCATAGGTTGTAGAACCCATTACGGACTTCAATGAATGAATAATGTTTTTAAAGTCACCAATATACCGAATATCAGAAGGTTTCGTTACATGGTAGCTATATAAAGTTGTGGACCTACATACTCAATTTTTGTCACAGGCTATAGTACCCATTACCAACTTTAAATACGAAATTAGAAACAATTCCGGTGAATTATGGTCCTGAAATCATACGATATCGTGGTCCTATATATACAATTCTCGTCCAGGAGGTAAAGTACTCAGAAGGAACCCCTTGTGTGGATTTTCAAACAACTCCATTGAAGAATTTGGGTGTTATCATCAAAATATCGAATATCGGAAGATATCGTTATATGTGGGATATACCATATCTTAGACCTACATAGACTAATATAGACAATTCTATTTCAGAGGGTAAAGTACTCATAAAGAATTCATTGTGTAGAATTTCCGATAATTCCTTTGAAAATGTGGCTGAAATTATCAAATACCAAATATATATGTGGGCTATACGATATCGTGGACTGATATAGTCCATATTTGAACTAGACCTGCCTGCAGACAAAAGACTGATCTGTGCAAACTTTTAACTTTCTATCCTTATTCGTTTTGACTCTAGCGTGACAGTAACACACAGACAGGGCTAAATCGTCTTAGAATTTTACGTTGATCAGGAATATATATACAGGTGAAATAAAAAAACCCGCAACAAAGTCAAACACCATAATTTTTACATTTTTTTTAAGTTTATTGAATGAAATCAAAAAGTGTCGGAAATAGCATTAAATTTTAGAAAAAGATTAGATTTGTTCGAATTGGTCACCTTTGGCACGAATTATGGCCCTTAAACGGTCAATGAAATCATCACACGCTGCCCGAATTTCGCTCTGCGGCATTTTCGTCCATTCCCGGCGAAGCGCTTGCTTGAGGTGATCGACACTTTAGTGTTTTTTAGTACCAACATTGCTTTCCAAAATACTCCAGACACAATAGTCCAACGGATTGGTATCCTGAGATTTTGGTGGTCATTGTGCGCTGGAAATGAAGCGAAGAACCTCATTTGTTAACCAATCATGGGGGGCACGTGCTGAGTGCGGTGGTTTTGATTCCTGTTGGAATGTCCAAGGTCTGCTGCCAAAATGTTTGCATGCCCAAGGCTTTAAAACCCCTACAGAATATTTTCGTGGTAATAGTCGGCATTTATACTGATGCCGATTAATACGAGCGAAAAGCGACCATCGGCTATTATGGCGGCCCACACCATCACCATGGCTGGTGCTTGAGCTCTGGTGACCAACAGAAGGTGCACATTTTCAGCTGACCTCTTTGGCAAGTAAACATGATCATTTTGTTTGTTTACAAACTGCTGGACAACGAGTGTTTTCTCATCGGAGAAAATCAAATTCGGCAGTTCACCATTTTCGGCCAAGCGAAGCAACTCTTTAGCTCTTTTGAGTCTATTTTCTTTCTGTTGCGGTGTAAGTTCTTGCACTTTCTTGGAATTTCAATGGCCATACCCCGAGCGCATTTTTCAATATTTGCCGTATGGCAAATGGCAGCTCACGAGCCATTTTTCGGCCACTGCGACGCGGGTTTCGATCAAGTCGGTTCTTTACATTTCGAACCATTTCTGCTAACGTTACTGTTTTCTTCCGTCCATTTCCTTGACGTCGGGTTATGCTATCAGTATCACGGTAACGAGCGATGGTACGAGACACAAAAGATTGATTTATATTTAAATGCCGGAGTGCTCTAACGATAGCAACTTGTGGTTTTCCAGGCAAACATAAAGAAATCACACTACCACGCTTGAATTCCATCACGTATAACTTTTTTTCTGGAATATTTTTACCAAAATGCTTTTGTAGGCTTGTAAGCAATAAAATGAGCTGTCACTGTAATAATTTTAATAGCTGTCGGACAAGTGGCTTAGAAATGACAGCAGTCTGAAATTGGTTGCAGGTTTTTCATCTCACCCTCATGCAGTTCCAGATCTTCGTATAGCCGTCGATTTTATCGACATTATTGACCGGAATTGTTAAACATTTTGTATTTGAAATTCGGTCCTCGTCTTTTATTTTTTTTTTTATTTTCATATTCCGTCTAAATGGTGGAACGTATTAAAATTTAAGCCACCCTAACTTACGTTCTGATAAATGATACGCGTACATTTACTTTCAAAATCTACTAATTTTTTGTATTTTAGTTTTAGCTGGACCTAGTCTACATTTTTATAAACTAATTAATGTCTTGAAAGTCGGCCAATACAATTTAGTTACAAATATCATTTATTTAAATACAATATTCCCCTGAAAATATTTTTTTTTATAATACCTTTAACGCATTTCCATACTAAATAAAATTCCACTTTTGTTATTTCATTACAGTTTGCGTATTTCCGGATTATTTTCTCAAGTCTTATCTATGCCAACAGCAGACAATGCTAGATTTTGGTGAATTCCCAAACAATCATCATTGCCATCGTCATCCTCATCATAACAACAATCGAAAACAAAATAAATAGAAAGCCGCTGAAGCTGCAGCATCTATTGTTAAATTTCGTTGTTGTTGTTGTTTTGTGTGCTACTGAGATTATAAATCAGAGTGACTGACGGCCGAAAACCAAAACAGAAAACCCCAACAAATAATAGACGGGAAAATAATCTACTTGGAGGCCAATAAAAGTAGACAAAAGAAAATCCAAAAACAACAGCCACATCAGGAAAATAGAAAAGTCATTACTGGCAAAGTAGTAATGCAAGCAAGCAGCAAGCATAGGCTGGAAAATTTATTAAACATATTTTGTGGCTAATGAAAGCTGCTCTTCAAACATCAACGGATGGTAGTTGGAATAATCTGCAAACAAAAAAATCTTAAATTCATCCCCTCGCGCGAACAATAGGGACGAAAAGGACCATCTAGTAGTTAGCTGTCAACATTTACATACAGGGACCTTAACAGCAACGACAAGACGAAGGACATACATTGCCATACAAAAGGACTATGATGATAGTCAAGGATAAAAAAGCTTTTTATTGAAATAATCCAGCTCAGGCGAAAGTTAAATTCTTCCATTTCCTCTCACAACAAAGGACACCCAACTCACACATTCAAAGATATTAAACGCCCAGCATTATCTTCTTTGAATTCATGCCACCACTTCATCAGCTACTTGCAGACTAGTAGCAAAATCGTTCGTTCCAACCATTCAACTGGTTGAATTTCAAGGCTACGCCGTATAGCGAAAAACATCTTTAAGTTATCACCTCCATCATCGCATCGTATCCATCCCTCAGACAAAAGGACGTGTAGCATTTGTCACGTTCTAACCACCCACCCCAACATCCCAAGCTCTTGGAACTTCAAGATCTCTATATGCTAAACTACGCCAACAATACTACCACTTCCATAGTTGTTGCTTCCAACATCAACAATCCCACAAGCATAACAAACATATCCGCCGCTGCTGCCGCCAGTCTCACTCAACCTGCCACAATGAAGTTGTCAAAGTTATCCAACCAAACAAACTCCCAGGATCCACAGGCCGTTAATTCGCGCATCTTTGTGGGAAATTTAAATACGTTTCAATGCTCGAAAACCGATGTGGAGCGTATGTTTCAGATTTATGGACGTCTTGCAGGTTAGTACCCATCTCCATACAATCGAAAAGATGTATGTGAGGTTACGTGTCTAGAGAGAGAGAGAGATCACAAAAATTTGGAATGCCATTTAAGCGGCATTATGTAATGTGGCTTAGAGCCGAAAGAATTTAATTAAATTTGGTTGTAATTCTTGACATTTTCTTATTTGTTTCTTTTTTCCTCATATTTCGTCCTTGTCCTCTTTTTCTCTATTTCTTCCCCTCCAACAGGAATATCAATGCATAAAGGTTATGCATTTGTGCAATTCACAAATCCTTTTGATGCTCGGAATGCCTGCCTCGGTGAAGATGGCAAAATGGTTTTAAGCCAGACATTGGGTAAGTTGAATCATTACTTGCTTCCTCTTTTTTAAGTGCTTTTTGTCCATGTGGGAAAGATGGGTTTAAGTATTTAAATATAAGTTGATAATATATTTTATTTTGTCAGAATAAGGACTTGAGTAGACAAAATTGTTCTTTGAATGCCTCACCATTTGGAACGAATTAAGCAATATTAAAAAAAAAAAAAAAAAACAGTAAAGAAAGTCTTAAAGACGGGCGGGGCCGACTTTATGATACCCTACACCACTTTGATAATTTAGTAGAGCTCCACATAACAATTAAAAGTTTTTATGGGAAAATTCAATCATACACGCTATGATTATAATTATAATTTAAAGTTAAACGGAAGCCGAAGCATTTGTATCTTTTAAATTCGGAATTGTATTGACCATTTGGTGCACAATTAATTTGAATTCGGATAAAGATATATATGGGAGCTATATCCAAATCTGAACCGATCTCGATAAAATTTGGCAAAGATATTTCTAAGCTGTATTTGATATATTTCCCTGAATATCGTTGTTACGGAGTGCATATTACGGCTGTAGGTAAAAAATATGACAAATCGGATGAACAGTATATAAGGGAGCTATAGCTATATTTGAACCGATCTTCACCAAATTTGACATACTAACTTCTAGACTCAATTCGGTCGTAAGTGCCAAATTTCATCCAATTTGGGCAAATATTAGACGTTTGGTGCTCAATCAAAGGTAAATCGGACGAAGTTATATATAGGAGCTATATCCAAATCTGAACCGATCTCGATAAAATTTAGCAAAGGTATTTCTGAGCTGCATTTGTTATATTTCCCCAAATATTGTTGTTACAGAGTGCATATTACGGCTGCGGAGGACAAAAATAGCAAATCGGATGAACAATATATATGGGAGCTATAGCTATATCTGAACCGATTTCAATAAAATTTGGCATATTTATTTTCAGGCCTCATTTGGTCGTATGTGCAAAATTCCATACAATTCAGGCTGATATTACACGTTTGGTGCACAATAAAATGCAAATCGGACGAAGATATATATGGGAGCTATATCTAAATTTTGACCGATTATCTCCAATTTCAATAGGGTTCGTCCTTGGGCCAAACAAATGATTTGTGCAAAATTTCATCTGGATAGGGCAATAAATGCGTACTGCACTTTGTTTACAAAAATACATTGACAGACGGACGGATGGACATGTATAAATCGACTCAGAATGTGATTCTATGCATATCATCAAAAGGAACTATGGCTCTATCTCGTTTCCTTTTGCCTGTTACAAACAAATGCACAAAGACATAATACCCTGACCACCTTGTGGTGTAGGGTGTAAAAAGTTATTCGTGATGGAATTCAAGCGTGATAGTGTGATTTCTTTATATTTGGCTGGAAAACGACAAGCGGCTATCGTTAGACCACTCCAGCATTTAAATGTGAATAAATCTTTTGTGTCTCGTACCATCGCCCGTTACCGTGATACTGCTAGCGTAGCCCAACGTCAAGGAAGTGGACGGAAGAAACAGCAACATCAGCAGAAATGGTTCAAAAAGTCAAGAAGCGACTTGATCGAAACCCGCGTCGCAGTGGCCGAAAAATGGCTCGTGAGCTAAACATATCGCAATATTCCATTCGACAAAAATTGAAAAATGAGCTCAGGGTAAAGCCATTTAAATTCTAAAAAAAGTGCAAGAACTAACACCGCAACAGAAAGAAAATAAACTCAAAAGAGCTCTCAAAAGTTGCTTCGCTTGGGCGAAAGTAATGAACTGCCGAATTTGGTTTTCTCCGATGAGAAAACATTCGTTGTTCAGCAGTTTGTAAACAAACAAAATGATCGTATTTACTCGCCAAAGGGGTCAGCTGAAAATGTGCATCTTCGGTTGGCCACCAGAACTCAAGCGCCGGCCATGGTGGTGGTGTGGCCCTCCATAACAGCCGATGGTCGCGCTTCGCTCGTATTAATCCACCGTGGTATCATAATAAATGTCGAATATTATCGCGAAAATATTCTGGAGGGTGTATTAAAGCCTTGGGCACACAATCATTTTGGCCGCAGACCTTGGAAATTCGCCATCGCACTTAGCACGCGCCACCCAAGAATGGTTACAAAATGAGGTTCCTTGCTTCATTTCCAGCGCACAATGGCCACAAACATCTCCGGATACCAATCCGTTGGACTAATGTGTGTCTGGAGTATTTTGGTAGAAGGAGTCGAAGGGGTGGGCCCATACGGTTAATTTCGTATCTGACATAAGTACATAAGTAAATATTACTACTCATTTTACGTGAGATGCGTGACACACTTTTTGGAGAGAGATATTTAGGTTTGAAAAAATATTTAGATATTCCAAGGTGGAGAAGTATCGCAGACTTGTTTCGCAAATTAAACGATTGTGCCCACTGTGGGGGAGTTATGAAAAGATCTGCACTGAGATATGTTGCAACTGAAGAAAATCGGATGCATTTATGATAGTTTTGTTATTTAAAATTTTGACCACTTTGTGGGGGGAGGTACTAGGAGGTGTGGGCCGATATATCCCACGTTTAGTGCAGCTCTTGTATTAGTAGAAATAATGATATGTGGGAAATTTGAGTATATTTGGATGCTTATTTCGCATTTCGCGTTTTAGTTATTAAAAACCGTTATCACATTTTATCCCATCTTCACATCAAGTTTTGTGTTGATAGAAATATTTGGATGTGTCGAGTTTGAAAGGATTCAGTTGCTGATTTAGAGTTTTATGAGTTTCAAGGTTATTTAAAATTTGATCCTTTGTGGTCAGAACCATCCCGCCTTCGTACCAGATCTTCTGTTGTTAGAAACATCGGAATGTGTTAAATTTGATTACAATTGGACTTTTATTTCACATTTTATAAGAGTTATAGTTATCCCACATTTTTACTTTTTGTGGGGCAGATACCTAATAGAGTGAACCGAAATTGTTCTTTTTAGCACCTGACCTAGCATGGAAAAAATATTGACACCGAAAATCAAAAGTAAAAATTTACTGCTAATTTGTTTGGATATTCAAAATACCAATAGAATGTAGTGGGTTTATAATTGAAAAATTAAATCTCCTTTTTATTGAACATTTTCCCCCTAGGTTTTCTTATCAAGGAAAAAATATATCCAGTTTAACCGAGAAATTTTCGTATGAAATTGGAGCTAAAGACTTCCTCCCAGGCGCCTCTCAAATGTCGTAAGAGCTTATGAGAGGGCAACCTTCGAATATTTATCTCATCGATATCACTTAAAAATGACGTTTTTCCAATTTTTGTTGCCACAATTACTGACTTTAAAATCGGCCATCTGAACATGGTCATCCATTAGCAATGGTATGTTACATGGCCAGCAAGAAGTCAAGCATATGAAAGTGAATAAAATAGTTGATGGTGAATTGCAATTCATTCATCCATGGAACCATCCATCCATTCGACCATCCATCCATCCATCTTTAATAAAATATCAATTTATTTTCATTGCACTCTGTTCCATTGGACATTTTTGTCGATGTCTTTCCATTTTCTTCGATTCAACTTCCTTGGCTTGCCAGCATTTCTCTAGCGAACTGTGGTGGTCCGTAGTTCAAATTTAATGAAATTTTTCTCACCTTCATGTGGAAAGCTATGAAATATTTGATGCAGTACCATCACCACCATCCAGCATCGATGAACTACAAATTGTTCGCAGAAAATATACATTTACATCTTTACACTTTCCGAAGTGACTTCCATGGTTAAAATATTCTCAATATGTTTATTGGTAAAAATAAAAATTCAACTGACATTCTTTTTGGGTAAGAAGAGCTGCTTTTGCACTATTAGCATGTTGGCATGTAGGTTCGAGCATTGTATGTGTGTGCGTTGGATGTATATGTTTTACTATGTTTTTATGAATTTTAACGAATATGAGATGTGGATGACTATGTATATGCGTGTATGTTTACTACAGTATGACTGCTGAAAGTACGTACGAAAATATTTTAATGGAATAATATACTTGCAGTCACAATGAAACTAGGCTGGAATGAAGATATTTCAATAAAAAAAAGATATAATTTTTCCCGATAAAATGCCTATTCCGGATTACATTTCGGCACATCAATTCATATCACTCCACCATTTTCATCAGTCTCCTTGATTCTAACTTTCAATTGACCAAGAAAATATGGAATTTTATTTTTAAAAATAATTTCTATGAATCGTAAAATTTTCCAAGACAAATTCAACAAATCGGATGAACAATATACATGGGAGCTATATGTATATGTCAACCGATTTTCACCAAATTTGACATACTTATTTCTAGACCCAATTTGGTCGTAAGTGCCAAATTCCATCCCATATTTCACGTTTGGTGTACAATAAAAGACAAATCGGACAAAGATATATATGGGACTATATCCAAATTTGAACTGATCTCGATAAAATTTAGCAAAGGTATTTCTGGGCGGAGTGCATATTGTGGCTGCAGAGGGCAAAAATAACAAATCCGATGGACAATATATGCGGGAGCTATAGCTATATCTGAACCGATTTCGATAAAAATTGGCATACTTATTTTAAGGCCCAATTTGGTCGTATGTGTAAAATTCCATTCTATTTGGGTTGATACATATTACACATTTGGTGGACAATAAAAGGCAAATCGGACGAAGATTTGTCCTTGGGTCAAACAAATGATGTTTGATTAGCATAAGATTATTGATTAGCATAAGATTCTATGTCGATTTGACCATGCCCGTCATACCGTCCGTCTGTGGAACTTGCCCTAGTTTTTAATTATGGCCAAACCAAGTAATAAACTGCAATAATTTCCTACTAGATCACAGTTCCTGTCAAGTAATGTCGTTTTATTTTTATACCCTCGGTCATATGGCTAGAGAGGGTATTTATCATTTGATACGGCCAAAACATGCCTTATCGAAATAGCGGTTTCAAACCTTAGGTCTCTTTGGTCCAAATCCGTTTCAGGACATTTGGAGTTGATCTAGCGGT